CCTCTATGGCACAAAACCATATGATCCTTCCTATGAGGAATTACACAATTCTGATTTGCAGAGAAAGAGTTGGACAACTTTTAAGCATCTTTGCTACTCTGGATGACTCGGTGCTCCTTTCATTTGCTGCAGAACATGTTTTCAACAGACGATGCTTAATAAAGCCAACACAATGCACCCTCTTATGATACTCTCTTATATTATGTAACTATTTGTAAGAATGAACTAATAAAAGAAAATGCAAGAAGAGAAATAACCAAGAAGCAAGCTTATTCATTAATTGCAGCTGGCCTGAAGTTTGGCAACACATCCCAAGCAATTACTGCAACAGATTTAACTTGTTTTATGTATTGCTGAAAAGAAATGGCTTTTTGTAATTTGTAAGGTCTCAGTTTTAACAAAAGGAGTGAATTTGCATACATGCAATCCAGTAGCAACACAAATGAAGTACACAGTGACTTCCAATTGGCAATGTTGTTGGCTTATTCAACCAACAGCCATGTTCTGACCTAACCTGCATAGTTCTTCCAGTAGTTGTCATTTTGCTTGGAAGTTCACATGATACTTCCTTTCACAACATTATTTCAAGGCTAAGCTGGGAGCTTACAACAGTACATATGTAACAGCCCTTAAAAACCTGTCAATAAAAGTTCCCTTTAATGGATGAGCCTCAGAATTGAATAGGAACCACAGCATAGTGCCACAGCATCTCAGTAATTGCGCCTTTAGGTTCTCCTCGCGGCTGCCTAATGCATCTCCTACACAGACCCAAAGAAACACATCGTTGGTGCTTCCTGTAGAACTGAAGGCAAAATACAATGCCACCTTCAGAGAGTGCAGGAGGCATCACAAATATGAGCACTATGAGAAATACAGTGCAAGACTTTTTTTGTAAGCAAACAATACAAAAAAAAGTTATGAAAGTTTCAAAGTTTTGTCACTGATTGTTTGTATAATTAATAATGAAGTTCTTGCCATGTATCAGACACACCCTAGGCCCATTGTGAAGCCACCTCACCTGCAGTTCCTGGATTAAGGACCTCGAAGATTCCAGGTCGAACAAACTAGAAGCTGTACCTTTGCTAACTGAGAACATTCTTTAGAGCAGGAGGCTTCCAGCACCTCCTGTCCCACCACACATCAGCCATTCCTGCACAGGGAACGTTTTAAACTTTTCTCTACCCAGAAAGCTTGTTTAATAAAACTTAGATCCACTTAACATGAATTAGATCTGCTTCCTTCTGATGACATTATGAGATGATGTTCACAAGCGCAGTAGTCTGAATTGGCTCAGATAAAATGTGGTCTACTTTATCATAATACAATAACCGAATAAAGTTGTGTATTGAAAAGCTACCGTACAACAGCACAACGCGTTTTATAACTCCGTCGAAAAATCACCAGAAACAAAAGCGATGCCTACCGACGTACCCCCAGGCACGCGGCGGCTCGGAGTCCCGCTCCCAGCACGAGGCACGAGCAGCCCAAGGCAACACGCGGTGGCTTCAAGGCGCAACAACACGAACCGCACAGCAGCGCAGGCCACAGCCGGCGGCACCTGCGGGCGGAGCGCCCCCTGGCGGCCAAACGGCTCCGGGCGCGCCGACGGCTGCCCGCGCCGCTGCCCCGCCGCGCTCGGCTGCGGACACCGGCACTGCTGCGCCTCCGGGCGTGCGCTGCGCGTGTGCGCAAGAACGTACAGTGCGCGTGCTGTACCTGTACTGCTATCGCACCTAGAGCTGTAAGCACGTAGAGTGCGGGGCGTCAGCAGATAAATAAAGCGTAACGTTCCGAACGTGAATTCAGAACACGGAGAAAAAGCAGTCTGTGACTTCCAACCGTTTCGTTACATGACAAAAAAAAAACCAAAAACTAAAACAAAAACAAAACAAAACAAAGTTTTGCCAATAAATTACCGCCTGCGTACCCCACCTGTGCTAGTTCTATCTACAAGGTTATTTTGAGCAAAGGTGAGGATATGTTTATAATGTGGGCTTGGGGTAAACCTCCCCCGTGTTCAGGATCCGACCGCACAGCCCTCGAAGCGCGCACCGAATTCCTCTCCCACTCGTCCGGTTGCAGGAGCTCCGAGCTGACCGTCGGCCTTCTCACACTCTCCGGTCACCTCCCTCCCGCAGGACGCCTCTATCCTGCACGGCAGACATGCTTCTCCGGGCAGCCACGAGCCCAAGTTTGTTACACGAAGGACAAACGCCCGCAGCGAAGCCGACCCCAACTTCCTCGGCAGAAAAGAGCCCGAGAGCAGCCGAGCGCAGCTTACCTCCTCCACGGTGAGCGGCATGCAGATCCGGTACTCCTTCATCAGCATATTCCCGTGCGTCGGTGCGGAGCGGCCAGCCGAGAAGCGCTCGATGCCGCGCAGTGCTCGCGCCCGCAGCCGCGCGCGGGGCAGCGGATCGCCTTCGTGCCCTCGCGTCTCCGTGCGCGTTCGGCGCTGAGTCCGCCGCGCAGCCCCGCGAGCAGCCGGGCGGGCGGAGAACGGCAGCACAACCGCTCCTTTCTTCCCGTTCTTCCTTCTTCAGCCCGCGATCATGTGAATTTCGCACACGCACGGACCTCTACAAAGAAGTCTCGAAGCCGAAGCGCCGTCGCACGCTCAAAGACATCCGTCGGAAGCGCACGAAAGCGGCGGCCTCTCGCTGCTGTGTCAAGACATGCCCGGGGCGGCGAAAAGACCGAGCGAGCCGGAACGCGGCTGTCGCCCCGCCGGCAGGAGAGCCGCGACGCCGATTTCCGAGACAAAGGCTTTTTCTGCCGCTTCCTCCCCCGGCTGCCGAGCGCGGCTCCCGCCTCCTCCCCGACCGCCGCTGCTCCCGCTGGGCTCGGGGCAGCGCTCGGCGGCCGCGGGGCCCCGCGGTGCGGCTGGGGGCGGGCGGGCTGCGGCCGGCCTGGATGGAGCCGCGGAGCGGCGGCCCCGGCGGGGGCGCGGCTGACATCACGGCGCGGCAGGAAGGAGGGCGGGCGGCGGCCGCCGCCGCCAATGGGGCGGATTTAAGCGTCCCGGCACGGGGAGCCGCGGGTTGGGGGAGGGGGCTCCGGGACGGGGGCACCGCGGGCTGTAGGAGCTGTGCCGGCCGCACCCCCACCCCGCTGGGACGCGCTTTGCCGGCCGCACGACAAGGCGAGGCGGCGCTCTGCGAGGGCGCAGCCGGGGCTGCCCGCACGGCTCCGTTACAACAGCAGCGCGCAGTGTGTGCAGGGGAGATACCCGCACAGGATGTGAAGGCCTCACCCATTTCCCTTCTGGTCAGCCCGTCGCTATCAGCCTGCCGAGTTGGCTGCACAAATAAAACTGTTTTTTTGTTTTGTTTTGTTTTGTTTTTGTCTCAGTTATTTACTTTAAAATGCTGCATGCAAAGTTCAGTGACAAAGTGTCTCCTTCCCAATTGAACAACAAAGCCAGGACCGCTGGGGGAGGCCTTTTCTTTCTTCTTCCTGATAGCTAAACCTTTTTTTTTTCTAGTGGTTTTTTTTCTTGTTGTTTCAGATAAATTGTTATTAATTTCCACCTCACTACACAGGCAGCTAACTCTGAAGCCATCTAAGAAAGCCAAGCGCTTATGTAACTGTGAATAAATCATGGCATGTGTACATTGCTGCTTCTATCAAGTGAATGGCCATAAAACACAGCTTGCAGGGAAGCCCTGTGACTGCAGCGTGAAATATAAAGCGCTGCACAGTGGCAGAAGACACACCTGCACTTTCATCTAATTTATTTGCAAAGATACAAGTGATCAAATGCCATATTGGGGGCAGTTGGACACGAATTGAGGTCTACTATGAAACGCGTTTCATAACAAGAGCAGAACCCCTCGGGTTTTCATTGGCTCTGAACGTAGATCTCAAGGCGATGTATATCATCTGAAGCGCAGGCAGGACGCAGTGCCATCTCCTGGAGCTAACGATGTAATTTTTTTGCTCCGTTCCATTAACGGCACATATTTCACACACCCTGACTTCCCGGTGGAACACAAAGAAATAGAAAATCCAGGAGCTCTGCTAACAGCCTGGGCTTTCAAACGAGGCTTGAACAATGTGGTTTACGTCTTCTGCTTCAAATTTGACAACAGCCATTTGTAAACATCCAGCTTGTAGTCACGATCCATAACGATGGTAGCACATACTAATGAAACTTTCATGCAAAATAGCCCAAACGAGGCAGTACGTGTAGTATCACCTATAGAGGACAGAGATCCAAATTCAGATCTACTTACTGCAATTATAAGTGATTTATTAGTTAAATGAACTGGGGAAAAAGAATCATCTGGTCTCCTGCTGAAAAAACGCTGTAAAAACTGAACTTTGCACGGGGCCTTGAAGCGACTTCATCGCTAAGTCAAACGGAAACCAAAAGCACCTCCCGTGCCTGCTGCACTGCCCCACACGTTCTGCCACAGCTCCTCCCTGCGCTGTCTGTGCACGCGTGTGGAGGGAGAAGCGGCGGTTCCGACAACAACCTTTGGAACTTGGGACTTCTTCTCAGAAGGACGTTCATCAGATGCCTTTTAGGGGACATCCTCTGTGGGTGTTGCAGTGGAAGCTGTGCCATGAGAGCTGCCCGCAGCTCCGCCCGCACCACACAGCAGTGCTGCACCAGAGGCTGCGCTACGCCACATTCACGCTGCGTTTGCCTCAGAATGCGGAGAAATGGCGTAAAATCGCGGTGGTACTGACTTCACTCCCTTTCCCCCCCCTCACTCACACACACATCTCCCTCACACTACGGACACGTGAGATGTGAGCATCACCACAGCGTGGGAACATCTCAGCCAGCAGCCCGAGGGGCGCTGAGGCAATTGGCGGGCAGCAAACCGCCACACCGAGTGGCGGGAAATCCCGCTCCACCGCCGGCTGGCCCTGCACGGACCGCCTCACAGAGGCGCCCCCCTCACGTCCCGCCTCGCCCCGCTCAGAGGTGCCCTCAGCAGCGCCTGCTTGGTGCAGTGCGGGCCCTTCCGCCGGGTTGTCCCGCTTGCGCCTGCGCGCCGCGCTCTTCCGGTGTGTGTGTGTGTGTTCGCGGGGGTACGCGGAGCAGAGCCGGGACCATGGCGGACGGCGGCGCGGAGCGGGCCGATGGCCGCATCGTGAAAATGGAGGTGGATTATAGCGCGACGGTGGACCAGCGGCTGCCCGAGTGCGAGAGGCTGGCGCAGGTGCGGCGGGGGGAAAGGCGGGCGGTGCGGATGGGCTGAGTCATGGCACCGTGCGGGCTGGGCCCGGGTTGAGCGAGGCGAGAGCGGAGGCCGGGCTGCGGGCCGAGAGGGGCCGAGCGGGAGGCTGCGGGGTGCGGGACGGGGCGGAGGTGGCCGCTCCTTACAGGAGCGCTGCGCGTCAGGCGCCTCCGTGCTGTTGTCCCGAGTCAGGATGGCGGGCGGCGCGCGGCAGCCGCGCGGTTCAGCTGTGTGCGACCCGAAAAGCAGCGGAGCCGTGGCCGCCAGCGGGGCTGTGCTGAGTAACGGCTGTGCATGGCCGCTCGGTGCGGGTACGGTGCAGCTGAGCGTTATCTACGGGACTTGTTTTGAGGTTTCTCTGTGCACCTTGTTTTGCAGTGTAGAGGCTCTCAAACCCCACAGCAATGGGACTGGGATTGCTGTCCTGTTTCAGCAGGATGGCATCTGGTTCCTATGCACTGGCGGTGCTTTGCTTGATCAGCAGGTCTGGTCAGAGACGTTCCGGGCTGTATGGTATATTGTAGGATTTTGAAGGCAGTAGCTTTCAGATAAGAAGGCTGTGTGCTCTGCTGCCTTCAGACTGCTACTAGCACAGACGTTTTATCCCATGGGTGCAGCTCTGTGTAAGTACGGGCATCGTGGCCATATTTCTTTCCCACATAATATGTACGTTCAGTGGCAGTAAGAGCACATCCTTCAGACCAATGTATATGCTTTGGAAGAATTTCAGTGCAATAGGTATGTTTTAGAACCAGCTTTCTTTTTCTCTCTTTTGTCGTTCATCTTCTTGTTTCTAAACATTTTGCAGTCCCAAAGCTTTTACTTTTTACTGATTTTTTTTTTTTTTTACTTTATTTTCCTATCGCACTAGGAGGGGAGATTGCAAGAAGTAATTGAAAACCTTCTTTCCTTGGAAAAACAAACACGAACGGTAAGTGTGGTGTGCATCATTTAGTGCTGTGTTGGTCTACACCTCCCCCCGTTCTATTGTATTAAAGTTAAAGGGAATTGTAGCATCAGTCTTTTGTCATTCTTATCAGTGAGATGAGATACAGTGGATTTTTTTCCTCTTTATATCATAGCAATGCAAGTGACAGACCTGCAGGTTGTTTTTTCCATCACTAATACACTGCTTATCTGTTATAGGCTTCTGACATGGTTTCCACATCGCGTATCTTAGTGGCAATAGTGAAGATGTGTTATGAAGCTAAAGACTGGGATGCTCTCAATGAAAATATTATTCTTCTGTCAAAGAGAAGAAGTCAGTTAAAACAGGTGAATTTATTCCTTTGAAACAAAAGGTGAAATTGCATTATTATATCTGATTCTCCTCTATGAAGAGACTTCACAGACTTCTTGGCACTTGCATGAATACAGTGTGTTTAGCTTCTGCTGATGTTTTCTGGGAGGTATACAAAAGCCAATAATGGAACCAATGTCCAAACTTCATCTCTTTACTTTGTACCTGAGCTCCGTTCTTGGCAACACACCTGTGGCTATTTTGCTTTTGGTACATGTCAGTACTTTTACATGGTTGTTCAACTTTACAGTCATCAGCAGTCTGAGCTGTAGACACAGTTTTAATTTTTCATGTTGTCATGAGGTATACATTAAACAGTTATTGGAATTGGCTGCGATGAAATAAGGACGAGGCTTTACATGCTTGCTTTCAAAACTGTCATAATCTGGAATTCAGTTCTGTCAGAGAAATCAGCTATCAAGATTGCTGAGAATGCTTGCATTTAAGAAGGTACAAAGTGTGTTGTGCAGCGTGTTTTGTTTTTTTTTTTAACCTAATTAAAGTTAGCAAAAGGCAATTTTAATGGCATCATTGCTTTAGGAAAAGAAAAGGTTACCTACTTTCTAACATGCAGAAACATGATTTTCTGCGCAAGTGGAGTACAGTTTATTTCTCTAACTTGCTCAAGTTGTGGCTGAAGACGAAAGCAGCTGATTTTTCTCTCCAAGTAGTTTCTAGAAGTTTAATTCAGGTTTTTGGAAGTAGGTATTTCAGCTGTAATTGTGGCACCTTTATCAGTGTTGTTACCAGAATGCATCCCAGTAATCTGTGCTTGCCACTGAAGGATGCCAGCCTGTGAGTGCTTAACTGCCAACCTGCAGAGCTGGAAAGGATCAGTCCTACTTCCTCCTCTTCCTTCCCTTCTTGAAAAATCTGTTGGTGTCCTACAGAGGAAAAACTGCACACACTTAAGAGAATATGTATGATTAGATTCATCCTGCGTGCATGTTGAGTCTCTCTAGTTTAATATGAAATTATTTAGTATCTGAATGCATTTGAGAAACCTACGGTGATTTTTCTATTCTGTTATTGTACCAGGCAGTTGCTAAAATGGTCCAGCAGTGCTGCACTTATGTTGAAGACATCACAGACTTACCAGTGAAACTGCGCTTAATTGACACGTTGCGTACAGTTACAGAAGGAAAAGTAAGATTTTGTTTTAAGACTGACTATCTAAAAGGTAGAATAAAAATGCTTACCTTCTTTAAAAGCATAGCTTCTGAATGCCATTTTCCACCTTGTTCAAATGAGAGCAGAAGTATATTTTTAACTTCAGAATTTCTTTCCCAGAAAGACTACAAATATTTTCCAAATTTTGTAATTAAATGATTTGCCAAAACACCAATCATATTTCCATTATGTATATATTTGGGTGTGTTATTAATATAATAGCTCGTACGTTTTAGACTTTGAAAGTGCCATTTTTCACTATTTAAAGTGTTGCATATTTGAATTAGTTGGAAATGGGCAGTTTAAATTATTTAGCAAGGTGTTATGTGCAGCTGTGGTAATCAGAAACATTATGAGTCCATTATTTACATGCGATTCCTTTTGCTTACCCCCCAAAAAAAAGGATCTATTCTGAATGAAAGCAGGTTTGTATTAATGTTATGGCTTTTGCCTGTTCAAAGTTAGTCTGAGCTGTTAGTCAAGTATGTTTGCCTTATGGCTGGTTAGGAGTGCGTGCAATAATGCAAATAGGTGCATGTTAACTTCATATCTATTTCAGTATATTTGAGCAGGCAAACTGTCGAATACTTCATTTGCTATGCAGATTCTTTTATGTTTGTGTAGGGAATGGTAAAGGCATTTGTTTAGATTAATTTGGTCCAAATAGTTTGATTTTTCCCCCTACCCATTATATTTTATCAGCATATTTTTGTAGATAGCATCAACAACAGTGTATGGATGTATGTGCAATTAATTAATTGCATAAAAACATGAAGGAGATGTTTTATAGGGCTGTGGTCTTGTAGTTTATATCCTTTTCTAGAAAATTCCAGAACTCCCATTGCTATTTCTGATTTCAGATATACGTGGAAATCGAGCGCGCTCGCCTGACAAAAACACTCGCAACAATAAAAGAGCAGAACGGGGAAGTGAAAGAGGCTGCCTCTATTCTGCAGGAATTGCAGGTAACACACTGCGTAGTCACAGTTACCTCAGTGATAGAGATTAATGCTGAAACTTCATCATCTACATCTGCAGAAAATGCCTGGAATGAGATTAACTGTTACGAGTGAGATTGTAGCTCAGTTTTAAGTGCTCTCGTTGGTTCCGTTGTTAAATTTCAAGGAATATTTCTCTTTAGGAAAACAAATTTCAGTTTGCTTTGCTCAGTCGTACAGTGAGTTGCACATTAGTGATTGTTGTTGTTTTTTTGTGTGTGTGTGAAAGTAAGGGCTGTAATTCAAAATCAACCTTTTCACCATTTTCACTTGCTCTGGAACAGCTGGGTCTGTTTTTTGTTTTCCTTTGTGAATCACAGAATGCTTCTCTGTTTTACGTGTCTGACCCTGACGCAGTGCTAAAAGGTTGCATTTTCATTTTAGGTGGAAACTTACGGTTCAATGGAAAAGAAAGAACGCGTAGAATTTATCCTTGAGCAGATGAGGCTCTGTCTAGCTGTAAAAGACTACATTCGGACTCAAATTATCAGCAAAAAAATTAATACAAAATTTTTTCAAGAAGAAAACACAGAAGTAAGTCATTTGAGGATTTTTTCCTCCTTATTTTGATCTGTCATGCTTTCTTTGAGGTCCACGTGTATTTAAATCTTCTGTTTTCTGGGATGGATTTGGATTTCATTTACATGGCTAATAGAACTGTTGTAATTCCACTGTTTCAGAAACTAAAATTGAAATACTACAACCTAATGATCCAGCTGGATCAACACGAAGGCTCCTACCTCTCCATTTGTAAGCACTACAGAGCCATTTATGATACTCCATGTATTCAAGCTGAGAGTGAAAAGTGGCAACAGGTAAAAACAACAACAAAAGGAAGCAGACAGCAAACAAAATGTCTGTATTTTCACGTGGCAAATACCTGTTCACCCATGTCATTACCAGACCAATTTACAATAGATTAAGTTGCTCTTAAGTCTGATCTTGTTACATTTAAATACCACATTATCTTAAATTGGGTAGTTGAGAATGGGTGTAATACAGTTGATTTTATACCATATTATATGCTTTTATACCATATTTCTACCTTTTCTACCCAATTTATACTCTTCTACTGTTGTATATAAAATGGGAATGTTTCACATTTGATTAAGAAAAAAAATCTTTGAAAATTTGGAATTTTAGTTCACCTGTATCAATTTAAATATATTGCTATGAAGGGAGGTGTGTTTCTGCAAGATAGCCTCAATTTCACTTTGACTTCTTAATATGTTTGGCATAATGTTTTTTGTGTTAAATTCTAAGCTCTGCAGAATAGTTTTCAATGCTTCTGTTTAATTATGGAAAAAAAATAATCACTCTTTCTTATCGCAGGCACTGAAGAGCGTTGTTCTTTATGTTATTCTTTCACCTTATGACAATGAACAATCTGACTTGGTGCACAGAATTAGTAGTGACAAAAAGCTAGAAGAAATCCCGAAGTATAAGTAAGTGCTCTTTCTACTAAACAATTCTCAGGCCAAAGGCCTCTCTCTTACAGTGGCAATGTAAGTGCAATCTGTTTATGCTGAGTCTGCTGCAAGCATTTCAGCATTTATTGTATGAAAAATACTGCAAAACTTTCATGATTGTGTTAGAAGTTAAAATAAATATCTGTTTATAAGAGAAAACTCTTCATTAGAGATAGTTGCACTTTAATTGTCCCTGTAAAGTATTAGAGTTTATACTTATGAAGAACAGTGAATATTAATGGTAATGAAAACATTTTAAATGACTTATCTGATGTAATTAAGTATGAAATATGCCTTATTGATAAGGGATTGTTAATCACCCTTAGTAAATCATTTGCAGAGACCTCCTAAAATTATTTACCACCATGGAGTTGATGCGATGGACTGCCCTAGTTGAAGAGTATGGGAAGGAATTGAGAGAAGGATCCCTTGACAGTCCTGCAACAGATGTTTTTGGCTGTACAGAGGAAGGTGAAAAGAGATGGAAAGATTTAAAGAACAGAGTTGTGGAACATGTAAGCATGGCTCATCCTTTACAAATTAGCTATGTATGCTATGTCTGACTTTTTGTTTGCCATACTTTTGTTACAGAGGTGTTTTTCATGTAGGAAAGCAGCAGATAAGTTGCATTTTCCGTTATGTTCTGTTTTTCAATTGTTTTTTTGTCCATATGTGCATAGAACAGATACACATTTGGCCAGAAAAAAGAGCATATTCTGCTCAAATTCTAAGGTTTACGTTTCAGTAGAGTAAAAACTTGTGTTGCTTTGCCTTAAATTAATAATGAGTTGATTTTGTTACTTTTAATAATTTGTCATACAGAGGCTATTAATTATACGTTTCACAAGCATGATAACTGTCCACAACTCATTTACATAATTTATGCTGGACTGCCATTAGAGCACTATAGCTCCTAATCTGCTTTTAACATTGACTTTTATATTTTTGCAGCCTGCCTCAATTATATTTTGCACATAACCCTCTACTCTGAACACTTTTATTCCAGAATATTAGAATAATGGCTAAATATTATACCAGAATTACAATGAAGAGAATGGCACAGCTCCTGGATCTGTCCGTTGACGTAAGTGTTGCCTTTATGAAAGGAGAATAGAAGTGTTTGTGTGTGTGTGTGTGTGTGTGTGTGTATTTGCTTGTGACAAGAATATAAGTACTCAGCAGAGTAACATTCTTTTGATTATTTTTGTTTTTTTTTAACCTTTTTTCTTAAGAAGCTCTGAAAACAGTGCTGTGGACCATCCCTGCTTTGTTTGCAGACTAAGCAGAAAGACCCAGCATTGTAGAAAAAAAACATTTCCGGATTTATGTGCGTGTGTTTATTTGTGTCCTTGGATGGATGGATGCAAGCAGCAATAGATATTGTGTGTCACTGTAATACTCTTCACATCTCATTCCACTGTGCTACCAGTGCTTTTCAGCTTTTACCAGGAAGAACAAAGTGTGCTATAGTGATAGGAAGCATTAACTGAACTTCTGTTCAATGGGCTCTTTAGATGGGAAGCAGTGGAAAAGCCTGATGGAGTAGTAGTATGTTAATCTGTCCAGTGTCAGGACCTGAGTGTTTATTTCATGCCATTATGGAAATCAGGAAAGGTTTTTTGTTTTTTTTTAAATCCAGACAGAACTGGTTGTCACAGTGCACGTGTCCACAAGGCAAAAGCTGATACTAAAAGTGAGTTTGTGCTCAAGGTCCTATTTCAGTGCTGGATCTCCTTATCCTGTATTTCACTGTGAAAAAGCTCTTGTCAATGAGTGAGGAAATCTGACTTGGAGATAGAGGGTTTCTCATCCTTAATTCACAGTGGTTTTCCTATGTCCTGCTTGTCAGAAATTGCAGTCTGATATCTGTGTAGCCAGGTACTCTGAAGAGTAGAAGACTGTTGGTTGTATGTTAAACACTGAGTGTCACAAAAGATAATCAGATGTAGGTCAAATGAGAAAAAAGATTTTGAATAGATGGTGCTAGTAGCTTGCTATGCCAACATGGGATATCATAGTATTATGCTGTTTTTAAACAGTGTTGTTCAAGCTGGATTTCTGCTAGGTTCCTTGTGCTTTAATGCTGTTTGGGTGGACTTCTGATGCTTTGAAGGTAAAAATGCTGTTTCCTTGACTTAGTGCTGTTTGTCTTTGCAGGAATCGGAGGAGTTCCTGTCTAACCTGGTAGTTAACAAGACCATCTTTGCTAAAGTAGACAGGCTGGCAGGAATTATCAATTTCCAGAGGCCTAAGGATCCAAACAATATACTGAATGACTGGTCTCACAAGCTGAACTCACTAATGGCCCTAGTTAACAAAACCACACATCTCATTGCCAAAGAGGAGATGATACATAACCTACAGTAAGGTGCCTCAATAATCTCAGTGCTTTTAAAGAAGGCATTAAATCTTCATAATAGAGACTATTATTACAGTGTGTATATGTTTTTTTTCTCCTTGTCAGGGCTTCCTGGTCTAAAATTTAGGACATAATTCTGAAATTCCTGTTGACAGTTGAGTTCCCTTGATTATTCATTCAGTTGTTAAACATTTTTGCTACAATTGGTGAAAGAACATAATAAAACTGTATTGCCTGTATAATGGTAGTCTTGTGATTTATTATCTTCCATTTATGCTTTTATCTGGATAATTCATGACTCTATGGTTATTTTGTTGCAGGAATGTTTTCGAGGCTAAGATTGAGAGGACATACTGTAAATAAAGTTAAAAACTTTAGCATATCACCTCAGTGTAAAGACACTACTACTCAAAACATACTAATTGAAATTATGTCAGAGGTCAACAGCAAGGCATGCCTGCTTCTTAAAAAATGCACTGGGATGTTTGATCTTAGCAGCATGGGATGAAACAATTACATTGATCTGAACTTTGTAGTTTATCTGCTGTGTACTTTCAACATCCCCTCAGTGCTGTTCGCTGCTCCCCACTCTTCTTTCGTGGTTCAAATTAAAAATGAGCAAGAATTAGTTGGAATATCCTTACTTTAGAAACTACATGTGTTTAAGGAGTCTGTGTTGATGAAATATTACCCTTGGATAATTACATAGTAAGATTAAAGTTGAGATCATTTGTACGTTGGAGGACACTGGAGGAATTCCAGGGGAATTTTCATGCTGCAAAATCAGATCTTGCTACTCCTCACTAGCGATCAGCCTAGAAAGTTTGCTTTGTTGTTTAATAAGATGAAGAATTACTGTTGCTATCTAACCTCAGGTCTACCACTGACTTGTTTGTGGCAGAGGGTAAACCACTTAACTTCTGTTAGTTTCCCATGACTGCTGCTTCTGAGGGAGTTCAAAAAAATTACAAAGATCTTGTGTGCTAAGCCTTGGAACATAACTTCTATTATTGCAAGCAGTCTGGAGCTTCTGTTGAGAAAGATCTGTTTCATTTTCCAGAGGTGAAGAATCTACTGGCATGTTAGGCTGCAGGGTCTATGAGGCAATTCAGTGCTGTATATAATTGTGCTTACTAATTGCCCACGTTAATTATAATGGGGTTTCCTTACTAGCTTCAGAACACATCACAAGAGAAGCCGATAGAAAATTAGGTCTTCTCTACTGGAGTTTACGAAAAGCTGTTTTCAAGAGAACAGAGTGAACTTTATCATAGAATGGAAATCTGTTTTCTGAATGTCTTGTGAAAGCAAAAGTCTGAGAAGAGGAAAAAAAAAAAAAGCAGCACTGTAAGTTTGTAATAATTAGTTTTGTTTTGAAAATGTAGAAACTAAACTGAGTGTGCAACTCAGGGGAGAGCCAGGGCTTTTTGGCTACCAGCTTTCCAATAGCCCTGAAGGAAGTGAAGGTTCCAACTCTTCCAGAATTTGTGCCACACCTTTCAGAACTCTGCTCAGATCTGCTTTGTGGCAGGGCGCCTAGTAGCCCGAAGTGGCCTCAGGTTTTCAAACTCATGCTTTTTGGCATAGAGCCTAGATTCTCCAAGGTCCTTGGCATGTCTCCTAGCTTCAGAGGATCATGAGAAGCCCTGTGAGTAGTCACGATTTGCAGAATCTTGATTTGAGGGTAGGGAGACTGGATGTGTTAGTACTGTGTGTTCAGGGCTTCCTTGCAGTTACAGTCCTCAGGAGGTTGTGCCATCTGAATTTCCAGCAAGAAGCTGCAGTTTTCAGATCTGAAAAGATTTTGAAATCATAAAATGTGTAAAAAAATTAAATTAAATTAAAAAATATAGCTGAACATGATATTGCTGGAGATTTTTTAATTATAAATCTCAGCATTATAATTAGTCTCTACAACTATCACTTGTTGCACTTCTGAGGATCTGAGTCCTGTCAAGTCTCATGATGCTCAGCAGAGGTTCATTGTTTTAGTCCCTCTCATGCCTCTCTATTGTGACTGTGGCATTTCTGACATTTCCAACTGCTACTGTTGCTTTTTTTTCTGCTCACAGACTCAATGTAACCCACTGTTCCTCATCTCCCCGGAGAGCAGGAAGAGATGATGCATCCAGTACAAAAAAACTCGTGTTCCTCAACAGAAGTCCAGTACTGTGATGCTCTCATCATGAAATCCCCTTGGTGAGCATAGCACATGGGGATTCCAGGAACTTGAGAAGTCTGGGCAGTTCTGGAAATGTGAGTGAGTAGTCAGCACATAACATCTGTTTCTGCCTAGCCCATGCTAGTAAAGGCCTGGCTTCTCAGCCCAGCCTCTGTCCACTCAAAGCTTCTGCAGTACAATTAACTAGTTCACAAAATTGAGCAAAACCTGCTTCATACAGGGGCTAAGAACTTTAAGTCAAAGCAGTAAAAAGACCATCAGTTGCTGAACAAATCCTTCCCCCTATAACTCACCAGCTACACAAATTTTTCCTAGTGCAATATAAAGAAATCCTTTCAGAAGAAAGGGATTCAAAAATTAGTGACAGCTTATGTGAAAAATAAAGCCAGCAACACTTTACCTCACCCCAGAGGATACATACTTTTTTTTTTTTTAACAAATAGACATAAGTCATTCAATTTCTGATTAAAAAAAACAATGAAATATTCCTACAAAAAAAATTCATCCATAATATATAAGCTCAAGTAGGAATTGGACACAACTGTTCTCCAAAATAAAAGCCATTTGCATTGCAGCAGCCTATACAATGTTATAGAGGTCCTAAATGTGTTTTCACTTTCATTTGACCATAACTGCTGTCTCCGTTACTGCAGGGCACTGCTTGGCTTCTGCAGAGCCCAGGGGAAAAAACCTACCAAACCTAGCTGCCAGCAGGCCATGTAGGCTCGCTGGGGACGGTGTGTGAGGCACGCAGCCCCAGAGCAGCAGCAGCACGGCCTAGGGCAGGTTCTGCAGGACTGCTTCTGCCCTTCTGAAATGGCGGCCCAGCAACTGCGCTCCCCTCTGGGAGAGCCTTCTGTGGAGCGCTGGAACAGAGCCCCCCAGACCTGTAAAGTCAACTTAAAAATGGACTGATCTAAGTCTGGGGCCGCAAATGCAAAGGACTCGTTTTTAAAATGTATTTCCTTTTGTATTTTCATTTTTGCGAGGAGCTCTCCTTATAAACATGTTACTGATGAATATTGAAAGTATTCCTGGGCACAAGTACCTTCTTGCAGCGGCAGTGCATCAGAGGCTCGGCTGGTGGTTGCTCTTCAAAGAGTTAGAAGGCGTTAAGCATAGATTTAAATATAAATGTATTTAGGAAAATCCAATACTCACATGATCTAAATCTTACAGTTATTTTAATTAAAGTAGAAAAGTTTAAACAAAAAAAAACCAAAGCAACACAACAACTGAACAACTGGAATCTTGCTGATAAATGCAAGGAAGGTGCTGAAGCAGCTGCTGTCCCATCGCAGCTCAGGAGGAGCACGGCGATGTGAGGGGCCAGAAAAAAACGTTGCGAAACTGCCTCGGCATCAAGCAGCGTTGGCCAAACGCGTTTTGCAAAGTAGGGTTGTCTTTTTTTTGTTGTTTTTTTTTGGGAGGGGGGGATTCGTGCCCAGCCAGCAACACGTTACCGGCGGTCCTTCAGCAAAACGAGATGGAGTTTGTTCCGTCATCTAACCGCAGCCCTTCCGCAGGGATCCAGTTTTTCACACGTTTCGCAGCGGTAGCCGTAAACAAACAAAGGACGGAGAAGGGAAGCCCGACCCGCTCGGCTCGGGGCGCTCCCAGCTCTCCCCGCTCAGGCGGGCACCCGAGGGCCGCCCCGCCGGGACCTGCCGGCCTTGGCAGCCGCTGTGAGCGTGTGGAGGCGGCGACGGGATTCCAAGGAAACGGGAGGGGGGCAAAAACAACGCCCCCAACCCCGGCCAAAATAATAATAATAAAAAACAATAATAAAAAAAACAACACTAAAAAAAGTAAAGAAGGACAGAAGAAAGCGCCTGCCGGTCTCCAGCCCGCCGGCAGTGCCCCCAAACACGGCGGTCAGAGCAGAGCCGCGGCCCCAGCTCCCACAGCTCCCATCGCCCCCGGTCCCCGAGGTGCGGCTCACGGCCTCGGTCCCACCGCCGCCTCACCCCGGCCCCGCCGATCCCGCCCGGCCGCCCTCCGCCTTCCCCCGCTGCCCGCCGGGCCGGGAGGAGGGCGGGGGAGGGTTTTCCCACAATGCTTTGTGGGGACGTTGACAAGTGGATCCAAGATGGCGTAGAAAGTAATGACAGGTAAGTCAGGACTTCCCCATTCGCCCCTCGCGAGGGCCGAAGGCGGCGGGGCCGGGCCGGGGGGACCCGCACGAGAAGCTCGGGGGGCTCCCGGCGCCCCTCCGGCGGTCGAAGGGCCGGGAGGAGCGTGCGGGGCGGGCCGGGGGCTGAGCGGTGCCGGCTGGAGCGGGCCCAGCGTCTGCGGAGGGCCCTGCGGCGGCGGCCGCTCGGGGGCTGCGTGCGGGCGGGCCCGGCCGGAGCCGCGGGGGCCGCGGGGCTCTCCCGAGGGCGCGGAGCCGGGGGCGGGAGGGCGGGTGCGGCCCTGAGAGCGGCGAGGCGGGGGCGGCGTGGGGGGCGGCCCGGGGAGCCGGGGCGGGGAGGGGGGGGCTCGCATAAAGCCGGCCGTCCCCGGCTCGGGGGTGCTCCGTAGGGAGGGCGGTGCGGGGCGGCTTCGGGTCGTGTGCCGGGTGGGGTGGGAGGGGACGGGCAGCGCCGGCCAGGAAATGCCGGAATAAATAAGTGGGGGGAAATGGGCTTAGGTAGCGGGGTCTGTGGAAAAAGAAGTGGTGAGGGTTTAAAGGCCGCTTTAAAACGAGTCCTCCGAGCGACGCGGGCTCGGCACGGGAGGGAGGGGGGGGGGGTTGTTTTTTTTTGCAGGGAGGCTTTGTGAGGGCCGCGGGGATCCCGAGGTCTCCTCCTGTACGATGCTGCTGTTGTGAAACTGCAGATGGGAAAGTTTATACCGCAGGTTGCCCTATGGCCCTCTTTTGTTCGGTCTTTTTTTTGATTGTTTTGTTGTGTTTTTTTTTTTTCCCCTTTTTTTTGAAGCAGGTCCCCAAGTAGAGCTGCTTACAGCCTTCCCCCTCTTGAGGAGTTCAATGAGTCGTGTCCTGTTATTAATATCCAAACAATTGGATTTGTTTGGATTCGGCGTGCTGTTGGTGGAGCTGTTGTTTGATTGCAGTAATGT